ACCGAACGATAGAGGATCGACAGACGGATCGAGAATTCAGCGAGACAGGAAAGGAATTCTTATCGGAGATGCGCGACGCGGATTACGCGTTGTCTCGGTTCCCTTATCAATTGTCTCGACTGCTGTTATCTCGACAATACGTAACGCGGCGAACGTCATCCTCGTGCGTCACACTTCCCGCTAATGTCACGATTACGCGGCATTAGTCATTCACCATTTAACGGCCCCGGCGAAGCGATCCCCAAGTAATCGCTCGATAATGTTCATTCTAACAAGCGCGATTCCTGCGAGCGTGGAAAATTTTTCCTCGATAGAAATCTCTGACAAGCTCGTGTTCGCTCGCAAACGAACCCGCGTCGGCATTCGGTGAACAGTTTCCTCCTCGTTTGTAAATCTGAATCGAATTTATCCGCCGCTGTAACTTCGCGAAAGTTATTCGACAAACCGAGGCTCAGGTCGAGCGCGAAACGAATTAAACTCAAAGGGACTCGGCAAGTTTCAAGCTTGACGCTATCTCAGTCCGAAAATGCATAATTGAATTGGCTTCGTCCCTCGGCACAGCCAGAAACATTCTAGCGGCGCAATAACGTCCGGGTTAATAGAGTCACGAATGTAGATAAGAGATACTCATCCCCCGAAAAGGCTCGATGAACTTCCATCAACTTCCCTTTACTCGGCCAACAAACGGTTTAGAACGTTACAGAATCGGATTACATAAAATCCAGCCGAAAGACGCTGGTAGTTTCAAGTTGTCGTATCGGGCCACCTCTCGCGCGCGATTTAACGATTCGCAAGTTCGCCTGGCGGAAACAAACGGAGGATACGAAAGATTCTTCTGAAACGTCGCTTCGTCGAGCTCGAAACTGGTCGGCATTCGCGGATGGAAACGCGCGGTTTTTTCTCCTCATGAATTCCGCGAGTAGAAAAGCCACTTGAATGGGAAACGCGGTTCGTGCGCTCTGCCTTTTGTCGTCGACCTTGCACGCGAACCCTCGGCCCCGTAGGTTCGTCGACCCTTTCTGTAAAGAGTTTTTATGCAGTTCGCTTAACAGCCCGATACGGCTGGCATAGCTAATTTTGAGGCAAATCTCCTGGCTAATTTTAACGAACCCTTTTCGAGGGCGGACGTTGCCGTAAAAAGGTCCATAAACGAGGAAAATTTATCGTCACGTCGGGACTAGATGTTTGTTGCATTCTTTTTTTCCTTTTCAACGTCAGCGTTAATAAATAACCTGTACTTGTTCGCCTTCGAAAAAATCACTCTCCCGCACGAGCCTGGTAAACGTAACTTTATCAGCCGACTTATTCCCCTCGGCGTGGAAAGCGCTGCTACCCGACAGTTTTCCCTTTGTCGACCCGCTGGTAACATTTGCATCCAGCACGATATCGAAACTTTGCCGAGCCGTAAGCACGTTTTGGATATGCGCCCTGGGCTGATGATCGCAACAAATTCCCGACCACGCACCGCGTCGTGAATAAATTATTACGTCAATACGATGAATCGTTCCAAGATAAACGATGTTTTCCCCCTTTACATTGTTGCGAATGAATAACAATAGCAACCGAGTCACATTGTCGATACACCCTTTCGAAAACAGCCAAGGTATATCAATTTTTACGATACACGCAGGATGAAGCGGCAAAAATTTATTCGGTATTCGATAAAAGTTGCGTATACCTCTACAGGAAAGAGATCCTTTGAAGGTCTCGAGATCAGCTTATCTTTTTCGTAGACGGGAAGACGTATTTCTCTTATGATAGGATTATAGTTGCTTCTCCAAACATCCAGGTTACCCGCTATCTTCCCTTATCGTTAGGGTACATAATCCGACAAACGTTTACTCAACACCCAGACCTCAACGTCCCTCGAGATTCTATCGGTATCCTGGGACTATTATCGATTGCCATTTAACTTGCTACAAATATTATCTGACTCGAGATACCATTTACACGCGTCGACTAAACGTAACCATATATCGTCTATGGGGACTAAAAGTACTCGGGTACCCGTAATAATACATTTTCTCGCGTGTCTAACCTGATACGGTAATTTCTACCGGGCTGGTCAACGCGTTAAGCCTGATCGAAACGTCGCCACGATTCTGTGTCGCGTCTTCGTTGACAGACAATGTCGGTCGAATTCGGTGTCGAGGTGGTACCGTATCTCGGGGTGCGAGTTGCAGGGCCGTAACGAAGGAGTTCGCAACTAGTTTCCCCGGTCCATGTCCTCCGGACGAGAACAATGCCGATACATACAAACACGTACACGGTTTTCACCGATACCAGGAATGGGCCCGACGCGGGCAGGCCTGCCACGAACCGAGTTGCGACAATATCCCGAACTTACCAACGGCAAACTTTTGCCAAAGAGATAGAGACGGAGAGAGAACGAAAGCAGAGGTGGACGACACACCGTCAAAAGGATCGAGCACGTTTGCCTTACGGATATAGAATGCAAAGAGACACGAAAGGGTGCTTGCGATAACCGGGATGAAAAATAGTCTCGTCTAAGTCGTCGAGAATCTTTTGGTAAGGCGATGAAAGATAAAAGACAGAGCCAGGAAATAGACACTTCCAGATAGTTCCTCGCTCCGCCAATCATTACTTCAGTTTTCTGTTCTCTTTAAAGAAAGTGCCAGTTATCGAGTTAATTCCATTCGCGCAACGTTTCCCAGCGCGCTACTCCCGCGAATTAATCCCAGGCTCCGGTAATATATTCCGATTGAATTATTTTATACAGGAACACCGGGCTGCTCTCTTCCTCGCGACCCTTTTATTTTGAATTATTCATCGCTTTGTCGGAAATTGCTTCTGCGCTACTTTCAGTTACACGTTCGCTCATGTTCGAGCCTTGTAGCCGCATTTTCCGCGACGTTTTCACGACCAGTGATTTTTCTTTCCATCCTCGAAACTGCTCGCGATCCATCGAGGAAACGCGATCGCGAACTTATCGGAACTCGGAGGATTCCGAACGATCAGAACTTGCCGTCGAACTTCAAACGACGAATCTGCGTTGGTAATGTCGTTCTACCCTTCGGAAAGTTTCCCGGTCGCTTACAAGATTGCCGAGTTGTCGAAGGCTGCATGTAATTTCCGAACTGTCCTCTGCCGCGGCTGGAAACGCAACCCCTTCGCGCTATTTAGCTCGCGGTACAGAAAACGTTCTCTCGTAAATAACCTCTGACCGCGTCGATTGCAGTTTTCAAACAGTTTCAAATGCTCGCAATTAGAGCCGCCAGCTGTGTCTCGTCGAATACTGTCGTCCGATTCGAGCAACGGAATTTCGCGTTCGTAGGGGTCGTGTGTTTTTCGCGTCCATCTTGATTTACCGTTCACGCGCTTTAATTCGATTTTACAACTGCATCGACGAATTTCGGGATACTTTGTAAACGCGAATTCAAAATGTTTGCTAGTTAACGTTTCTCCAACGATGGCAAATTAATCGATCTCCAAAGGATATGCAAGTTAATTTCGAACGTAAAAATATTAGCTCGCGAATCTGTTGATTTTCGGTCGCAATAAACTGTAGATAGTTGGGTAAAAATTTAATAAAGCATCGCGAAAGTATCGTAAGCTGGAACAGTACATGGGACGGGAGAGGAATTTAATCAAATTTCTATTGCAACTACGAGGGACGATGCAGAGGATCCTTAAACGCGATCCGGTTTATGAATAGAACTCGAACAGTGGTTCATTAAAATTTTCGCGGAAGAGATTCTCAAACGTGCCCTAATATTCGGACAAACAGATTTCGGATCTGGTATTTTGCCGCAGCGAACGAGGCCTATTGTACGATAGAATACGCGTTCAACGCATAATGCTGAATACGCGTAACTCATCTAGACTAAAACGGGTATTTTCATTCGAGAGGGCGGTAATTAATTGTCAAGGATATTTAATTTTTCTGAAGTAATACGCCTAAACGTATCCATCCCTGTACGCCCACCGTGCAACTTTCGAGCCTTCACCTTTAAACGGGACCAACCGATCGAACGTCAGGAAAACGAGAACGAATCGAACGCGACCGATTGTTGACGTCCACCATCAATGACCCCAATCAACCGATTAACGCTGCCGCACCAATGTCGGCGTTATCCACGTCATCATCGTGATCAGAGCCGATGTCTAAGTTGCTCTGATCATCTGGGTTACCCATCACAGTGGTGGTGGTCGTCCGTGAATATACCCTCAGGCCGGTAACAACCAGCCAGGGAGCAGCATAATATATTCCCGATCCGGTGGCACGATGTTCTAAAGGCGACTATCAAGTTGTGGTCGCCTAATTTACGATCGCAGCAAATGGATGTCGGCTTTAGTGGACGCGGCTACGAAACCCGCTTCCATAGCATCCTCCCTTGGGATTTCGTTATCGAAACGAAAAGTAACGAATCATGAACAACTCGAATAATTTACCTAATTCATACTAGAACAGTTTTTATTTTCGCAGGACCATTCGAAGTTTCAAGTTATGAGGCAAGTTTTAAACACGAAGTAGCATAAGGAATTGGTGAACGATCAACCACGATCAAAGGGTACGTATTTCATTGACCCGGATGATTCAATCGGTGAAATCTAATCTGACAACGAGATTCGATTCGACCAGTCTACTCAATTCTACCAAACAAAAGGTAGGCGATTGCCATTAGATCCCTATCGGCTAGATCGATTCGATTAGATCAACTGCTGTCGTTGGAGGCGTTAGGCGCCCCGTGAATGTTCACGTAGCTGAAACGCGGAGGAACGTCGAAGAAGGGCAAGGACGAAGTGACGGAAACAATAGCGCAAGGATGAAGGAGAATAAGAGGATGATTGTTCGGTGACGGACCGATCGGTCGATGGTCCAAAGTCGACTGTCAGAGCGCGGCGGTCGTTTGCTGGCGGCGTCGCGACGCTTGCGCCGCAGGTTTCGCGACTCCGTCAGACGGCGCCCCGACGCTGGTACCGTCGGACGGACCGGTCGGTCGGGCCACCAGTCAGCCTCCAGTGAGCCAGCAGCCCTCTCTTTCTCCCTCACTTTACAATACGAGGGCATCGTTGGTGGCGCGCGCGCGCCACGCGAGACCCGAAGCAGAATCGTGGATTCACGGACTGGCGGGCCAACGTTGGTGTGGACCGAGTTGCACGCGCACATGCACACCCTCGCGCTAGCTCTCCCTCTCTCCCTGTTCCTCTCCCTCCCCTTATCCCACCTTTCTCCGTCGCACGCTTTCCGACATCCTGCGAGGAGAGTCTTTATCCAGCGAACGACACGAGAGGGAGTCCGAGTTCCTGGCTCGTCCCTCGCGGCTGCAGTGCGCTCCCAAACATCCACGAGACAACCTCGAGGTGTCCGCACGCACGCACGCACCACGCACGCACGCATCAAACCTCCAACACCCACGAGGAGAGGGTGCACCCAGTTGATCCTGAGGACGAGCCACCCGCGATCGGATCGACCAACGACGACGACGACGACGACGACGACGAAAACGACGACGACACCGTGTCACGCGTTCCGACACCAATACGTTTCTTGCAACTTTTGAATCTCGCTCTTCTATCATTTTCAAATCGTTCCACCCTCGTATCCTCGAACCGTTCGATTGCGCGCTACTCTCCCCAAGTGGTGTCCCGTTCGAAAGTCTATGTGCTCGCCCCCGGACTGTGCTCCTCCAAGAACCCCACGGTGCTCCGAACTTTTCGCCTCTCGTCGCGAGCTCCTTTTCCCGCGCGTGTTTCGTCGTGTGCTTTAGTTGTGCTCGAGGAAGAACCGCGGACGGATCGTTCGTGTGATCGGGGACCAAGCGGGAGAGGACGTAACGCGAAGAGAGTGAAGTTTCAGTGTCGGAAGTAAGGAGGAACGATGCGTTGAACGGGGACGATCAACGTACGAGAAACGAATCCTCTCATGGGAAATGATTCGAACGGAAACGGTGATCGAGGACGCGATACTCGACGGAGAAGGTAGCAGCGTGACGCGTCGACGGCCCTGATCTTCGATCTAAATTTCGCGAAATAACGAAGGAACAGAGTGAGAACGAACGTTCGGATCTGACGGTCGAAATACCTCGATCCATTCGAGAGGGAATTTTTATTTCCTGGTGTTGGAAACTGTTCGTCGACCGATCTAACCGAGTTGCTGGCACACTTTCTGTGCGAGAAACCTATCTGCGTAATTTGCGTGAACATGGTGCGCATCTCTCTCTCTCTTTCTCTCCCCCCCTCGCCCTGTAAATGAATCCTGTTGATCCGTAGTGTGAAACGAGCGAGGGTTAAAGGACGAGCCGAAGAAGGGTTCAGGGGCGTATATCGACGAATCTCGAGCGTGTAAATAGGTGTACAGAAGGGTCGAGGACGTCGACTTTCATCGAAGAAACTTCGACGCGTTCTTGCTCTTCCTTTTTGTCCTCCCCCGCGCGTACCTCTCTGTTCTCCACCAGCTCACCTACATACGTGATAGGACTGTGTAAAGTGATAAGGGAAACGAGTCGGGGATAAACGAGAAATAATTCGTAAGTTGTATCGCTAAGGACCAGGAGCAGCTCGTGGAACGGTCGAAAGCCGTACTCGAGTCTACTACACGCGTAATCGAAAAATAGATTCTAATTAGAAAACGGAACGAATTCATGTATAAATGTATGTACGAAAAGATACGGTTCAATTTTCTTTGATCGCGTGTGTCTGTGCGTGCGTAGCATCTAATTAATATTCTCTGTCTGTCTGTCTGTCTGTCTGTCTGTCGCGAATTTTTCTTCTATCGCCGTGGTGGCGTGTTCGATTCTGTTCGAATCCGTTTTAACGAACAAAATAATAAGAATATACAATTCGCATAATAAGCAAGTCGGAGCAGTACGGGTATCCAGCGCTTAGCCTTTTAGCCTTTTGGCGCGATAACTAATTAGCTCGTGGACGTCGTTGAAATCGAAAGCAACGTCGAGCCGCGCGTAGAAATTCGGTGAAGAAAAATAAAATAAAAGAGAGTACTACTATTATTACTACTACTACTACTACTACTCGACACAAGTAGTAAAGGAGAACGAGTCGGGACACCGCGATCGACTTCCAGATCCGTTCGATATAACTTCGCGGAACGTTGTCGTGTCGCGAAATGACACCTTTGCTCGCTTAATTAGCGTCTGAAGCCGATCGAGCTTTAAATCTAAGTGGAAGATAACAAAAGGGGGACCAATTTTTCACGCTCGTTCTCAATCTCTTCCTTATTTTCATCCAGTTTGCCTCTTTCTATCTTGCATCTTCGTGTCACCTATCCGCCTTTATCTCCTTAATCCAACCGCCTAGCGGACATATCCATAAATCTTTCTCTCTGTACGCTCTTGCCGTATTAACTCCGTCATCGTGAGACCGGTCGGTGTACCGGGAATACGAAGAAGGAGTCGCAACCGAAGCAAGCAATAAATCAAGGGCCAACGTACGACTGAGATTCAACGGGGAACAGAAAAGGTGGTAGACCTAGGTCCCGAGGCGAACCGGCACCGCCGTCAACCAGATTCTAAAAAGAAAAAAGATTCGGTCCAATGCTGAAACAACACCGACGACGCTTAATTCGCGAGGAAACTCTGTAATCGGGGATAATCGAGAGTGTTCGAAGCGAATATCGTTTAGTTAAGTGCCCGGAGGAGTGTTGCGTGTTGTAGATCAGGTAGAACAATAGCGTTATCCCTAATCGTTGGAGAGGGTGAAGAGGCGAGGTTATCGAAGGTAACCAGTCATCCAGTCAGCCGAGCAGGGCTCGCATTCGCCGCGAAACATTGTCCGTTTGATGACGATGACATTATCCTGAAACGGGCATGACGCCCCTGGCCTCGAGATGCGACGAGACCACTACCATCCTGCTGTTGCTGCTACTCGAGCTGGCACCCGGAGCACGCTGCTACCCGCGCGCGGCCACCACGTCCGCCTCGACTTTGTCGAGATAGCATCTACAGTCGACGGCGAGGGTGCGAGTGATGCCGCTCCTCGGCAGCATTATGACCATCGACGCCGGTAGTCCGACACAGGCGTCCACCAGCGTCTTCGAGGAGAACATGACGTGGTCTCGATCAACCGGTGCCGCTACGTCTTCCGCTAACCAAGCCCGCACGATCCCAAGCGACGAGCAGCATCCACGCCGGCTGCTGTCACTGGCTACAACCACTGTCGCCGATCCTGGTGGCAAACTTCCCGACGTCATCGATCAACGACCGAGCGAACCAGCTGATACGGTGAACGGGAACGATACCGGGATTGGGACGATTGTACAGCGACAGGAAGAAACGAGGAAGAACGGTGGTTGTGCTTGTGCCAGATTGAATCTAGCGACTCGATTCGGTGGCCAGGACACCGCGTCAGGAAGCAGGCTGCCGTTTCTCGTCACAGAACAGAGCGACCAGGTGGAGGTCGCTGCCACCAGCGAGGGTAGCACCGTTGATTCGAACAGCACCGTTGCTCTCGGTATCGATACCGAAGACATCGAAAGATTGAGAGAGCTGGAACTGTTGTTCGGTTTGGGGGGCATGATGGAGGATCTCGGTGGATCGTTCAATGATTCTTTCAACGAGAGTCTTGGCTTCCCGTGGAACGCTAGCCTGTACAACGAATCGTATTTCGTGTTCGGGGAAAGTATGTACCCATCGGGTTACACGTTACCGCACATCATTATGGCCTCCGTCCTGGCGACACTACTGATGATCGTGATCGTCGTTGGGAACATGCTGGTGATCATCGCCATCGCCACCGAGAAAGCCCTGAAGAACATACAGAACTGGTTCATAGCCAGCCTGGCTGTCGCGGATTTCTTCCTCGGCCTGGTGATCATGCCATTCTCGTTGGCCAACGAGATCATGGGTTACTGGATCTTCGGTTACTGGTGGTGCGACATACACTCGGCCATGGACGTGTTGCTGTGCACCGCCAGCATCATGAATCTTTGCCTGATAAGCCTGGACAGGTTCTGGAGCATCACGCAGGCGGTGGATTACTTGAAGAAGAGGACCCCGGCCAGGGCAGCCCTAATGATCGCCCTCGTCTGGCTACTATCAGCGCTAGTTTGCATCCCCCCTCTGTTGGGATGGAAAAGACCCACTCCGGCCGAAGAGTACCCCAAGTGTAAGGTAAGCGTTTCTTTCACCCGGCACATTGTTCAATCTCGTTCTTCCCTTACAAGAGAGGATATCAATTTAGAGATAACTATTCCTTGAATCACTATTGCAAACAGCAAGTTATAAGTGATCGCGTTTCCTCTTCACCAGGAGGAATTAAATCGTTCGAAGAAATCATGGTAGTCCAAAGTACTCGTTCATTCATTACGCCATTGTTACTCATCATCCTCCAAGAGTTCTTAATTACTCTCAGGAAATGAATTTATGATTCCATCGCTCTAATTGATGGATTAGCAGCGATGAAAGGGGAGCGGAATTCAAATTTATTGAATCGAGTTTCTTCGATAATCGCGAAAGGTTAGGGGGTTATACCGTGAAAACCTTTTGAAATCCTACCTACCACCCTTTCACGTCGTCTCTTTAACTCTCGTTATTCCCGACACAATATCGAATTATCCGGTTATCAATCTGCCTACGCCTTAAACGTCAAGTGTGCGTCAGTGTCAAGCAGCTTTAAAGGGCACTAGACCTGTTCCGATTGAAAAATCTCGTCAACTTTCTTCAACGTTCGATTGCCCTTTAAAGCTTCCTTCGGGCAAACGTTAATTATTAAATTCGCTTCAATTTCCCATTCTTTTCAAACGGAATTAAATTCATCTTTTATTCTCAACATTATGTCTATCCAGCGATTCGTCTCGAAGGATCCAACAGATTAATATCGCGATTTTCCGCTCACGATTCTTCGTTCGCTGTAGCCCGTAGGTGGTGTAAAAAAGCAAGGTGGTCTATACGGTCGAAGCATTTCCACGGTGTATCCTATAGTGAACGTGCGAGAGAAGGGTTTGAGAGCAGGAGTGGACAAGAGAAGAGAAGTATCGGACGTCTGGCTTTTATGCAACGGCGAAACCCACCCTTATCTTCAACCCCTCGAAACCAGCTTACGTTGGCCTCTACAAAACGCCCCGTAAGATTGGATTTCTACGCCTGACAGTTTGCTTCACCAAGCTGACCCGTACAACTTCACGACCTTTCCCTTTTCTCTTCCCTCTACCTCTTTCTATTTCTCCTTTTTAACGCTTTGTCTTTCATACGATACTCGATTCGCAGCCACGATTTTCCGCCGGTGAACCGGGGTTAACCAGCTCGAAAACACATGGAATTTCCGCTGACAAAGGTTTACAGTTTCCATTGATTTCGTTAACTCTTAGTAATTGGAAAGCCTCTCGAGGTCGTTAACGGTGCGCTGCCGAGGCCGGTTTCAACCTCTGTTTAATTAAGCTTCGTTTCGCGATAGGAACGCGAAACTGTACCGCACGAAATTTTTGGCAGCGACGGTCAAACGGAATTCGCGTTATTAACACGCTCAATCGAGATACGTGAAGCTACCTGTTGTCGAAACTGGAACTACCCCCGGACACGTTGCCGCGGCGATTTCATTCCTCTACCGATATTAATAACCCTCCGAATGTTAAAAGCTCCACGGCGATAAACGTTCATCGAGTTAACCACTGCCTGAGAAAACCTGACTTTTCATTACCTTAATGACGCGGTAACGCGTTAGCTTACTCGTTTGAATCGCGAAGCGTTAACCTTCTCGCTCTCGTTAACTCCGCGTTGCTTCGTCGTTGTACAAACGGTCCTTCAGTTTTTTCGTTTATCCCTGATTTTCAAGCGCTTCGAACGCTAGGCATAATTCGATGTAGATTACGGAATGCGAAACAGAAGTTGATTAACAAAACAACCGTGTTCAATGGCTGTAACTTTCTAGAGGTAATTGAAAACATTTGAGATAATGAGGCTCGTTCCGTTGAAAGCTCCAAGCTGTTCGTACAAGTGCGTTGAAAATCGACAATGAAACGTACTAGAACGAGAACAGATTCAAATTATTCGTCCTTGAGAAATTCACGTGTACCCGTGACGGATAAAATACGGAAAAATAAAGGAACGTGTATCTGGTGCACCGTCGAAATCATTGATCGATAACGTTCTCCAAATGAACATCGAGATGTATCTTAAAGTCAGAGAGAAGTTCTCAAGATCCATTAAAAGTTGCTACACTCGGACTCCTTGGTTCTTGTAAGAAATTCTCCTTTCGTTAACGACTTTGCTTAAATCCGCTCTCTCAAATCCTCGACTTCAGAGATCACGAAAGTCGAGAGCTAGCCGTTCCAACATCTCGTTGACCGTGTGTGTTCTATTTCGCAAACTTGTTGCTATCCTTTTCAAATAAGTAACGAAAGGTATTGCGCTTGAACGTAGGTCGGTTATCGCGTTCGGTTCGGAAAGGAAGCGTATCGTGACGGAAGGTAAGCGATCGGTTATTACGTACACGCGAGTCACGAACGAACGCGTGCGAATTTCTTGGCCGCGTCAATCTCTTGGTCCAAGACTGACTAACTCGATTCAGAAGAGAAAGAGAGAGAGAGAGAGAGAGAGAGAGTTGGTAGATGAAATCGGATGACAGGCAACAGGACGTCGCGCTAGCTGGAATCAAGGGGTTGAAGCTTATCGGGTTAAGCTGCGTGTGTGAACTAAAGTCGGCATTAAGTTCGCGCTTGGATCTCTCGTGTAAAATCCAAGGATCGCGCCACGGATACGTGTAATGCCAAGAACAGCTGCTCGTGTCGCGGTTCTGATGCTTCATTAAGACGGTAAGCAGTTTCGTGAACTTTATTAACCCCTTCACCTATGATTTTTTCGATGGTTGCATCAGTCAGAGCTATCTATTTATTGCTTCAATTTTAAAATAAATAATACATAGCATTCAATAATCCTTCACTGAGCAAATTACAATTAGAATTAAACTCAAAATTTAACCATACTAGAAATTCCAATCAAATTCAACACATTTGAACTGTAAGCTCAAGGGGTTAAGAGCGATCAGTTACTCGGAGATGAAATGAAATCTTTTATCTCTGGTAGCGATGATAATTTTGATGGAAACTTTCATGGTCTAATTATCAATAGATATCGCGTGATATCGAATATCATTCGACGGTGGAGTTTCTTTAATACGCTGCTATTTTGGCTGTGATTCTTAAAGCTTTCAACGGAGGTAGCAGGAGCAATCTGTCGGTAGTGGTAAAATTAACCTCGAAAGGATCGTTCGCTTTCAAAGCCATTCTCAGCCAGTGAATACTCAACGACGAAGAGTGAAACGAGATTAGAGGAGACAAGGGTGGCCCGGAGGCAAAGTTCGTCGGGCAAGGAAACGAAGGGAACGGGGCCAACGCGTTCGTTCGTTCGTTTCCGTTTCTTCCTCTTCTTTTTTTTTTTCTTTCTCCTTTCTTTCTTCCATCGGTCCACGGAAAGGCTGGCAAACTAATCACGTTAAAAGATTGAAGTCTTACCGCCGTCTTTCCGAGTTGCCAGCCTGCCTCCGGCCGCGAGCATTCGTCCCCCTCCGTTTGTTACCGCTCGGAAAAATCCAGCGACGACGAGCATCGCGACGCTGGCCGTCTCTTTCGAGGGATTGTCAGCTCGGTAATAGCGGCTGCGACGCCAGCTCGCGATGAATTGCGTTAAGAGAAAAATAACGTTGAATCTTGCAAGGAACATTCATTTCCCTCTTCTTTCTTTCGTGGTTTCGCGTCGAGCATCTTGTTATTCTGCTAATTTCGTTTGGAAAACGAACCGCTGACGTCTGGATCACAAAATAAATCCTCTCCGGTGATGATTCGGTCTCAGGTCTTTTTTTTTCCTTTTTTTCTCAACAGAGTCATTTAGGTCAACCCGGCTAATAGCTTCCATCGATTCTCTTTCCCTCTATGTTACAGCTTGTCTCGAAGCGACCCGCCTCCCTCCCATGATATATGACATAACGGCACGTTACTCGATTCGTTCGTGCATTACGCGGCTATGTTTATTAATCTGACCCACTAGCACGATGCTAAGAAGCGGTGGCAAACTGTCGCGGCGATTCGTTCTGCCTTACGTTGTTTCAACGGCTAGCTTGAATGGGATTGATTGATACCGTAGACAAGAAAATGAACTCGATTTCCCTCCAAGAATACATCCCAACAATCTTTATCGTGTCCCAACATTGTACCCTAATTCGTTCGCAATCGAATGAGAATATTCAACGACCAATCGGCCTACGGACGAAGTCATTTAGCCGAGAAATGTCCCGGCGCCTTTGAAATCGACTCCCGAAATCTCGAATCAAATGTCCCGCTGGTTTCTAAGGAAATTGCCAGATAACGAAACAAAAGGAAGACACGGTATTAAATCGCAACGAAAACTCGCGTTGGTCTGTGAAATCGTTTAAGTTAATCCTCGTAGAATTTACAAATGGTCGAGTTGTTTATCGGCATCGTGCGCACAGGAAACGTGTAGTAAAACGTTCCGCAAAGCCAGTTGGCGAGCGAACAGGTATTTCAACGAGCACTTAAAGTGGTACCAGACTCCACTCGACGGAATTTGTGGTCGATTAAAGTGTTTCGAAGCATAAAAACGACGATCGTTTCTCTGTCATTCATCCGTGTCATAGTTCTTCAACTAACAGTTTTCAGGGATTGGAAATAAAAGTTGTAAGAGTCCGTAATTAACGGACTCTTTTACGGCAAAGAGCGGTGTACTTTTGAAACATTTGCAGGATGGATCGCTGTCTTCTTTTGCCCGGTGAGCCGAAACTCGTAAACGGAAGCGCGTAATTAAACCGTAATCGATAGAGGCCATTTCCACTCGACGTCCTGGGATTTCAGCAGACGGATTTAGCGTTAAAGGAGACTCGTTTTCTCGACGATCTGTCTCGAAGAAACTTTCCGTTCGGAATCGCGAAAAACAAGAAGCAGAATCTAATTAGTTGAAACAGCAATTATTACTATCAAAGGGGTTGAAACTCGAAAGAAATCACGGCGAAGCATTTTCTTCTCCTTTCGTTTACTTTATAATCGCAGCTCGGGTGCAATTCGAAAGGTTTGTTAAGCAGCCTCTGATAAATAGGAGGGGTTCGTTCGTTCGAGTTTCTCATCACCCTCTCGGGTACGGACGCGCTTCAATCTCCTAATGCG